TTCTTCTATTTTTCTTAATTCTGAATGGCAAATTTCTGGGCCAGTAACACAAAATATACTACACCCAGTTACATTTCTGTTTTATATGAGTCACTAATTGCATTCCAGTTCTCACAGCAGTCTATGCAAGTCTCACTACAAAAATTAATAATTGATTTGAAACTCTGAAAATCAGAGGTATGAGACACAAACTAAATTGAGGAGGGTGGATTCCAGTGTTTCACTGTTGCAACCCTCCTCAACTGATATCCAATGTCTGTTATGTGAACAGATATAAGTGGGGTATTCAGGTTCATTCTTGGATAATTTAAGAATATTACAAGCACTGCCAATGTTACAAGAACTGAATGATAATGATCATGACGGATTTTTAAAAAGGCAATAAAAGAAAGTAGATAAATTCTTTATTGGGATCTGTAGTAATACAACAATGAAACGGTCTAGGTCAGCATCACCTTAGCTACATGTTTTAGCCTATTTTAAAATATCACATAATTTTGCTGGAGTTCTTGGCAGAGTACATACATAATGTCACGTGTTGGGTATATGTCATGTGACAAGTAATTTCATGCCTTATTTGATATAGCGAATTTATTGAACACTCGCTCTCACAATCATGCAATTCACAGTTATACAATCTTAATATTATACAATTCACTATCTCAATTGCTGTTTAACTGCATCTCGGCGGATCCATTCAACTGTCTTCAGCGGCTGCTACATTTTAACTGGCTGGTTAATCGTTACTCACTAGTAACTCACTCGTAACTGGCTCAATCCTCACTACTAATCATTCACTACTCACTAACTACTGAATAGTGTTCGCTGCTCCTTATTTAGCCTCGGCACGGACAACACAGAAAACAGTTATGTGATAGGTACCGCTGCTGCCTGACACCATGTTTACAGGTTGCCTAGCAACACTGTCGAGAGTTGTTTACTTCTCTGTAGCAACCGCAGCATCCCTTGGTAACGTCACCGTGGGAGGGGGTGGGNGTTACTCACTAGTAACTCACTCGTAACTGGCTCAATCCTCACTACTAATCATTCACTACTCACTAACTACTGAATAGTGTTCGCTGCTCCTTATTTAGCCTCGGCACGGACAACACAGAAAACAGTTATGTGATAGGTACCGCTGCTGCCTGACACCATGTTTACAGGTTGCCTAGCAACACTGTCGAGAGTTGTTTACTTCTCTGTAGCAACCGCAGCATCCCTTGGTAACGTCACCGTGGGAGGGGGTGGGGTGTTGACTGGCCTGTTACCGTAGCAGCGGCAACGCTCCGAAGGTGTTACATCACTGCTGGCGGGGGAGGGGGTGTCCTGCATAGCGCAAAATGTCACAATAATATCTCTTGGGTTGTCAGAATTATTGGTCTGTGGGTCATGATTCAAACTCAGTTGACTTACCTTCATAATAGGAAGCAGCATTTTTACCATCTGCACTTCTATGTTCGGTGGAGATAAACTGTGTGCTGCTGATGAGTTCAACTGTTAACATCTTGGTTTGCAGGAGTCTCTTGCATTTCACCAGCTTATAATGAAGTGTCAGTGATTAGAAATCTGAGTGATGCAAAATACTAGTGCAGTCAATATTGCCACAGAAATGTCCTTCATTACAANGTGCTGCTGATGAGTTCAACTGTTAACATCTTGGTTTGCAGGAGTCCCTTGCATTTCACCAGCTTATAATGAGGGAATTTGATTAGTCACATAAATAGGTGACATAGCATCCTTTGGAAATGAGTGATACTGTTTAATGCACATTGCTTCAGCAAAATAGCAACATGGTAAAATTTCAATTTGTAACATAATAAACTATAATGTTAGGATAATAGTCTTGTGAGATGTGATGCTTCGTAGTCTATTCCACAAAACTATAATTTTAACATCTGCTGTTATGAGAATCTCAAATCTCATACAAGGTAAAATATGTTTATTATATTCAAGAATGATATGTAGAAGGTTATATATTTTTGCCAAGTCATAGTTCAGTGGTCAGTGCCAGGCTCCATTTTGTTTAGATCTAGGGATGTTTATTATTTTACAGTGTCAGTGATTAGAAATCTGAGTGATGCAGTGCAGTCAATATTGCCACAGAAATGTCCTTCATTACAGTAAGTATGCCTTAAAATATTAAATACTAAGAGGTAGTATTATAAATAACCAGGTTATGTAGTTCTAGTCTGGCTTAACACTTTTAAATTGTTGGAAATTGTTTTTAGACCAAAAAATTTTGTAGTGTGTTCAAAGAAAATTCCTTCATGTCAAAAAAGGTCTCTTAAGTTTAGATTATATCCATTGTTTTGTTTTCTTTCAGCTTAGGGTCCTGGTGAAGTAATGAAGAAACACTAGACAACAAACTTTTATGTTAAATATTGTGTGGATCCATTACTATAGATTCAAAATCACTAACAAAAATAAATATGTTCCTGGTTGCAGTGTGTGGTGTTCATGGACAACAGCCAATGTTCATGCTCCATTGTGAATCCAACTGACAGCTCTGCCCCTCCAAAGTTTTTCACATTTGATGGAGTGTACCATATTAACTCCACTACTGAGCAAATATACAATGAAATTGCATACCCACTGGTGGAGGTGAGTGATCAGAGAAAGGGGAATGCCTGAACAAAATTAATTAAAACATAATATAAACTGGAGTTCACAGAATTTATTTAAAAATCTTTGCAGCTCTTTGTTAACAAAATCTGTATTGGAATGCATCTTTTACTTGTGCTCTGTATGACCATTCTTTCCAGTGAATATATCTGTCACAGAGCCTCAAAAGAACTTAACCTTTGACCTCTTTCAGAGCAGAGAATGTCTGCATGACAGATGCGCTCATTGTTGGAATTGTTAACAAGATGGCACACAATTTTATGGCATGTGGTAATGCGGCATTCAGATTTGATGTGATTTGAGATCCAAATATTATTTATAAAATTTCTTCCTCATAA